TCTGATGCAATCCTGTGTAATGAAGACTCCTAGATCCCCGATCCCCTTCCGTCCGAGTTCATGCGAGGATCCGCCAAAGTTTCTCATTGGCAAGATGGAGGATTTCGTGAAGGCTGATGCCCTTCCAGCTCTCAAGCACACCATCGGCATGTTTCGAAACGAGTGCTCGAATCTCGTCCGAGCCGCAACGCAAGCAAAAAAGGCCGGGATGGTCATGGTGGGGGCTCGAAAGAAGCTTGGCCGCCTGTCGCAGAAGCTCGTTGCCATGCTCATCCAGCAGATCGAGTCGGAGAGCATGTTGAAGGCTGCCGTGATGGCAGAGTCATCCGATGTGGCCACTTGGTTGTGTCGTGTTGAACGTGTTGTGTACTGTGAACCGGAAGCATGTGGTTTTGGTTCGGTAGGTTTGGTCGGTTTGGTATGCCGGTGTGCGCGCTTTAGACATGAGTCACAAAAGTAATTTCGATTTTCCTGTCCGGCGACTCCAGTGACCTTTCCCGTGCAACTGACAACGTAAACTAAACCCTAAACCCAAAACTCTAAACCCTAAACCCTGAAGTAGGCCCTGAACGCCCTAAGCCCGACAAGTGAGGTGAACCTGCGTGACCTTGCAAGCGGCCTGCTGGTGCTGGTCGCGGGCTCCACTTGCCGCGACTGGAGCGAGTTTGCGTGATTTGGGGTCGGGTCAGTCGGGTCCTGATTTTTTTCAGAGGTTGAGTCTGATCGGATCCAGCTTATGTGGCAAGGGTTGTCATGTGTTGGCAGATCAAACCCTCATCCCTTAGAGTAGCTTCTGGTTTGCTTAGAATTAGAATGTATCCTGCCTGCAGTGGACATCAGGACCTTAATTCGGATCTTAGGATCTCTTTCGTGTGTTCGGGTGTTGAGGCTCACTGTTGAGGTGTGCCAGAAGTTCTGACGGTTCGGCGCTGTTTCCAACTATTCAGAGACACTGCACACTGCTGCACGTAGTTCCCAAGAACTTGCCGACAGTTCCCGAGACTATTGCCATAGTTCCGAAGCCCCTGTGAGCAGTCACACATAACAAGCCACAGAGCATGCCAACTCATCCCAACGGTGCTGCCCGCATCGTTCGGTCTGTGAGGAGCAGCATGGGGTCGCGGAAGGGGTTCCTTGGCGACAGCGTTCTCGCGTTCGCCATACTGTTGGCGATTGTGAGATCGACACGCCCGGCTCTGTTCTTGCACGAGTGCACTGCAAGCTTCAAGTGGGCCATCTTCGCAAAGCTCCTCCCTGGGTATGACATCGCCCAGCACTACACCGAGCCCCTGGACTTTGGCTTCCCGGTGCGCCGGCATCGCTCCTACACGGCTTTGGTGCGCGCGTCGACCTTTCAGCTGGCGTTTCCGCTGTCAGAGATGCACAGACTGTTTATCTCGCCTGCTGTCGATTGTCGCGTCTTCCTCGCTGCGTCGAGAGCGGAGGCCATGTAGTTGGTGGGCAGCACATTAATGTTGCAGTCGTGACTTTGGGTTTCAGCAGCGTTGCGAGGCTTGTAAGGCAAGGCTAGGCTTAGTTCGTGGACGGTAGTGTTGCAGTCGTCAGTCCAGTCGGCAGTCGTGTTATGTCGTGACATTGTGTAACAACAACTACAGCCGTTGCGGAGTATGATGTTCCCGATTCCCGAGTCGGGAGGTGCAGCAGATGCGGTCGCTCATGGCCATGAATGCCTCTTGGCCCAAGATATCAAAGTTGCTGGATTCCAACAGGCGAAGTCGCACGGTGTACCGATTTCTATGTCACATCCCTTTGTGTAACCGTATCCTAGACTGACTGCATGACCTGTTTATCCATCTCGGTTGAAAGCCCCTCAGCAGTCGACAGTTGTAGCCATCCCATATTCCTCTTTCTGTTTGGTTTTTGTTGCGATTTGCGATTCTAAAACTTGAGGCTCGGAACTCGGGTTCAGGGTTTCAGCGGTTTCGGCGTGCGGTTTGGAGTTGGGAACAAAATGCTGAACACGGTCTGATTCGAAGCCTGGGTCCTTGTGTTTTGTTTTGTTTTTCTGAGGGTTGTCAAATTGGCAATTGAGGTTAGGGAGCTTACGATTTATGTCCATGGCGTTCGTATCAAGAATGCAGATAGCGAGAATGGGCACATCATCAGGGGAGGGCTGGAGTTGGTCCAAGTTGGGCCTTGGCCGTGTGGGGTTTTAAAGTGAACTTTGAAGTGGTTCTTTTAAGGTATAAGGCTATGTTGAGTGTCAGGTTCAAGATCGCCTGAGATTGAAGCTTTGACACTCAGAGATTGACACCTGAGACTCCTGAGGCTAGGATCCGTGTGTCTGTGTCCATGGATGTTGCCTGAAGTTATAGGATATGGCTGATAAGGATCCTCACGGTGCTGCGATGCGATGTACATTGGTCACTATTCGGGTGTTGCAGTGAAGCAATTGAAGTTAGGGCACGGAGCTTACGATTTACTTCCATGGCGTTTGTATTAAGAATGCTGATATCGAGAATTGGGCACGACGTCAGGGCTGGAGTTGGACCAAGTTGGGTTTGGGCTTCTGGGGCTGTAAAGTAAACTTCAAAGTGACTGTTTTACGGTATGGGGTCATGTTATGTTGATTGTAATATATGGCCGACAAGCATCCTGACGGTGTTGCGATCTGATGTACGTTAGTCATTATTCGGGGTGAGGCAGTGATGCATTGAGGTAAGGTGCCCGGCTTTATTTTGTATTTGACAGTGACCCTAACCCAAACTCCAGGGCCCCTTTATCTGACTTTCAATAGGGCCCGGTCGGGCTGAGCTTCTGTGAGGGATTACGGCCAATTACGGGGAGGCTTAATCAGCTGAAGCTCTACTTCATTCCGTCGGTAGTTCCGAACATAGTCGCTATCATCGCTAGCCAAACTAGCCAAGCCAGTACAGCACATAGGCAATGTGCCGCATTGACATGAAGTAGGTTTTATATCAGCATTGTGCTGAGTGTAGATTGGATAAGGCGCAATTGGAACTTGTTTGGCATTTGACAACCACCTAATCTAATGAATACCTATCGCAATCATCCGTGCTTGCGTTGCTTGCGTTGGCGCTTTGAAGCGATGACATGACATCCCTTGAATCCTTTGCCGGGCCTGCGGTTTAGGCTTCTGTCGGAGGGCAATATTGTTTGAGGTTTCAGAAAGTTTCGGACACGAATCACGAGTCATAAACAGGAAGGCCCGAAATCAATTTTAGAATCCAGTGATTCCAGCTCCGTGTGCCGTGTACCTGAAGTTGTAAACTGTTGAAATTAGAGGCCTCATCGAGTCTCCCAAAGCTAGAAAGTTGCACAATGAGTGAACACTGTCATTGTATTCATTGTTGTCCGTTCGCAGAGATGATGATGCAACCACAAGACATAGGCCAGTGGAAGGAAGCAGTGGAAGCCGTGGAAGCAATGATCCGAGGCGACGAAGTCCAAAGACAGCAGCTTCGAGGACCTTCTCCCTGTCAATGCCGGTGTCAATCTGGCGCAGGCAGTGCAGCTGCCTGCGATCAAGAACATGGTGTCTCGCAACGAGGTAGCCATAAATTTGGATCAGAACTTGAGCGCTGGATTTCGTCAGTTCGGGAAATTCGTCCCGACGGTCTTGGCCTCCATTTCGTGGATGTGGGCGATGGTGGAAGCAAGGCCGTACACATGCAAGGACACAATGCTCAGAGTCTTCAGACTTCAGATGCTTTGGATGTTTGGAACTTGGAACTTTGGATAGCTGTTGGATGCTCTGCTCGCTCAGTCTAGAAAAAAACATAAACATATAAACCCTATAGCCTATAGCCTACAAGCGCCTACGGCCTACAGTCGTTCATGGTCTATAGACCTAGATTTGATTTGTATACATGAGGAATGGAAGCCAGCACCAGACCTATCTGCGGACCTGCTGTGACTTTATTAGTACCTTAACCGCCTGAACCGTCTATAAATCCACAGTCACATCTAGATATGTGTGTGTGTGTGTGTTTTCCTAGCGATAAAGAGGAGTTGCTGGAGATACAGGGCATTCCCATGTTCGATGACAGCTTGCGTGCAGCAGGGCAGAGGACGCAAGTGTTGAACATGGACAACATCGGGGTGTCACCGGCTGCACAAAAGCACATGGCCGGTAATTCCTTCCACCAGGCCTGCGTGACTGCTTTCCTGGCTTTCACATTAGCCTCCTTGACTCCGAAGCCGATCTCTGCAGATCATTGCTCTGCAGAGGAAGAGAAGAGATGCGTCGCACTCATGCAGAGAGGCGAAGACCTCGTGCCTGTGATTGCCGAGTTGGGTCGCGCTCCGAGCCATGACGATTCTCGGGAGGAGCAGGACCAGGACTCCGACCATTGTGGAGAAGGCTGTACAGACGATGACGAGGATGGGATTTAGCCCGGTGAGCCTTTTAAGCCTTTTCCAGTTCCTCCTCGTCACCCACTGTTTTCAAAACCTGCATCATCACATCGTCATTCCAGTAGCCCTGGTACATGTGTGCAAGTTAGACCGTGTGGCAGTGGGTGTGGAGGAGCCAGATGGATTTTGCTAAGCTTCACATGCGGTTGAAGTTGAAGTTCAGGCTTGAATGAAGCCACGTGAAATATGTCCAGCCGCGGACGACTGAAAGAAGTGCATGGCCGGGAAAGCCTAGAACTGTTCTGAGAGTGAGCAGCAGTGGCAGGCACCAGACATCGGTCATTTGCATTCTGCAGTATTCTTGCCATTCTTACTGATGATATCATAGCGTTGCATTCGTTGTCGATGGTGCAGATGTTACATTTCCGCGTCGCATTGCACGTAGTTGAAGTGAAGTTGTGATCCATTCATTAACAATTTGGGACAGGATGACAGGGTTCACAGTCAGAGCCGCTGATTCTCAGAGTCTCAGAGTGCTCTTCAGCTCTCGCTCTTGGAGTGAACACACCATTCACTGCCACTCACCACTGAGCCGTGCAGTCTCAAAGACTTCGAACCCAGGTAGGCCAGGCCAATCAGGATTCGGGTGCACGTGTGCGGCGATGTCGGACAATCTGACAACCGCCGAGGTGGACAAGCAGCTTCCCAGTGAGAAAGGTCAGTGTCTGAATCTGAATCTGAACCCTGTGCGGTCTCCACGCAAAGCGTTGGAGTGCTTGGCTTGTGGTGTTTCGCTTGCAGACACTTCTGCGCGGTCCCAGCCAGCATCCTCCAGCGGTAGAAGCACCCAGTATGCAGGACATTGTGACTCGTGCAGCCTCTCGCTCCGGAACATTTTGCGTGCCTCGAAAGCCTCGACTGCGGATGATCTGGAAGGACTTGATGAAGCGGACGCCGGGACGGGTGGCTCAGGCTCAGGCTCCAAATCCAAAGCCAAGGCCAAGGCCAAGGCGTCAGCAGCTTTCGAAGGCTGCCCTGGGGCTCTGGGAATCGGAATTGGGAAAACCCGGTACTTGGGATCGGAGTTGCTTTGGAATGCTTCGGAGCATGTCACATGTGACATGTGGTGTTGAACACTGATTCATGATCAGCCGTTCGCGTGTAGGCGAAGACGATGCCGTGTCGACGGAGATGTTCCTCAGGAAGTTATCCCAGGAGGATCCCGAGCGCTATCGCGTCGTCTTCAAGAAGTTCCAAGATCAGACGAAGGGTGAGACCAACAAAGGAGGACGTGGCAACAAGCGGCAAAACTTCAATGTACGTGCTGCTGCAGCGACAATCAGCACGCAGACTTCCGAACGTACGAAGAGGAAGCGCTTGACAGGGACCGAGCATGCGATGGACAAGGCCAAGTACATTCAGCATTTTACAACCGCAGTGCCAGTTGGCGACAGATTGAACGAGGAGGAGGCACAGCTGGCATGGCTGCGTGACATCAACCCGAATAACACGGTCACTGAGAAGGTCCGGTCCAAGGGGGGGCCGGGCAGAGGCTTTGACATTCAGGGATTGTTGAGAGTTGGGAGTCGGAGCAATGAAAGGAGTGTTATTCAGACGCTGGGAAACATAGTCGGTTTGGTTTCGCAATGCGTGGTAACTCATAATTTAAATCAGGCCATCCGTTGGCAGTTGGATCGATTCACTTCCCGGTCCCTTCTGTATGGATGTACCATGTGCTTGTTGTGTTTTCTGTTTGTCTCCTCGGCCTCGACCCTTGCATTGTATGGGAATCCTTTGGTGTTCGGCGATGCTGCAGGAGAAGTTCGCCGTCTTCAATCCGAAGACTGGACTTCTTGAGGAGCGGGACCACGTGTGGGTCAACGTTGGATTCGAGCGTGCCAAGGAGGTTCACCGTCCTATTAAGTTATAAAAAGAAACAGGGTTACCGAGGTTTAGGGTACTTGCTTGGGGGGGTTACCGGGGGGTTGCCTTCACTTCATGTCTGGGGATCCCATAAGGAAAAGTGAATTGGACTAAGTGGACGACATGACGTATGTTGGGTTGGGGGCTGTTGATTTTGTGTTCTGTGGTGTGCTAACACAAAGAACTTCACCAACCGATCCGAACGGCCCCAGAATAGGCAAGGTTGGATGGTGTGGACGGTGTGGAGTTCAATCTCTTCAGTTGAATCGGACTTGTATGTTACTGCGCATAATACAGTGACAGGCTTATTCGTGTCTGTGATGATGCCGTGATACCCGGATGCCCAGACTGCAATCACTTGACGGAAGTGAATGCTAATCATTGCGCCGGTAGGGTCGTAGACAGTGCTATACGGCCGCATCAAATTCAATTTGTCGAGCCTCAACCGCAGCAACCGCTTCAATGATGATTGCGGTTTCGCATCAGGTGTTTGCCGACGACAAGCGATCCTTGCAGAAAGTTGACAAGGTGACGAACGCAGCTCAAGCCGAAGCCATCCTCAACAACATGGCCTCTTTCATCAGCTTTTCCGCTGATTCTGAGTTCATCCAGGCCGGTCGCCCTGAAGTTCAGGTCTAGGTTTAGGCTGGCATGAGTGTGAGTGTGAATTTCGGCGAGTCAGCTGACCTCCTGGCACAGTTGGGGTGTTGGCGGGTTAGAGCGAGTCTGAGGCCCGCAACTTCTTGGAGGCTCCACAATCAGATGAAGCAGAGATTATTGGAGTGGCCTCCATCACGGCCCGCGGTGTCGGGGCTGGCAAGGCGAATAAGAAGAGCAAAGGCGGCGGTGGCGGTGGCACTGGTGGCAATACTAAGAATAAGCCCAAGAAGGAACCGAAATCCTTCGATCCGAACGCTTACAGGGTGAAAATCGCTACCAAGCTCTTTGCCCACTTGAAGTTCATCCAAGCTGCGCTTATCGATGAGGTCAACAAGAGCGAGGAGTTCTTGCGAACTCACGAGTCCATGGTAGACAAGGCGAAATCCTTGAGGACGAGAGGCATCAGCTCCGACCGCCTCTCGGATCCCGCTTTGGAGCTTGGTGATGACCTCGCGTCCTACAGGCTTATGTTTGTCATTCTGAACCGCTATGACATCCTGAAGCTCATGGCGCAGGGCTCAGACAAGAACCCGGGGGTGGCAGTCGGTGTGCCGAAATCTGAGATCGAGGCTTGGTGTGGGAGGGTGCAGTGGAACACGGGCGCAAGCTTTCCTTGCTATGTGATACTCTACAGTAGCCTTAAACCATACATGGCCGAGTAGGAGGTATTGCAAGTTCACTGCTTTCTCATGTTTACAATGTATGTTATGATGTTGCTTTCTTCTGGTTCAAGGTTATAGGGGCTACAGCTAGGGCCGTTAGGGGTGCCGTTTTTTTCTTCTCCTCCTGTGTCCGCGACATGGTTATGTAGGTGTTGTTCTGGTTTGGGATGCGGTTTGAGTCTTCGTAGCCTGGGGCCTGGGGTTTGGATTTTTGGATTGCTGTCGAATCTGGTTTTGTTTGTTTCTGCACGGTGCAGGTGAAATACACAACTCGGATACCTGGGAGGCTCGGTTGGAAGTCCGAACATCATATGAAACGCCTGTCATTCCTTGGAAGGTGTCAGGGTTCAGTGTCAGAGGGCTCACTGTATCAACGTCGCTGTAAAACTAAATGAACCCATTGTTCATTGTTCCATTACACAAAAACCAGATAACAACCCTAAACCCCTAACCGCCCTAACCTTCAAACCCACGGCCCACGTCCCAAGTCATATGTAAATCCTGAACTCCTGAACCTTCTTCCCTATACAACATGGGAGGAGCTGGAGACAGAAGTGGAGCGTCTAACCATGTTGGATCCGTACCTCGCAGAGCACGCGCCCAAGAATGCGCCCTACCTGGCCATTTGCGACCCCGAGGCCTTGTACCCCGCAACCCTCAACACAAAGATCCAGATTGACAAGACACATGAAGAGACGTGTGACAAGGTGAAGCACATGAAGCTGAGCATCGCAGCGCTTCGAAAGGCAAGGGCGGACATGATCAGCATGACGGCGGCTCTGACCAAAGCCAAGAACAAGTTCGAAGAACAGCTGCAGAAAGCCGCCACTGGTTCCTCTGGCCACGGTGGTTTGCAAGGTCGTCCCAACCTGCGAAACCTGACCTCCGAGGATCCCGAGATCCTGAAGACGTTCAAGCCAGTTGCCTCAATTTCGATTTTTTCATCCGTGAGTGAGAACACTATTTCATTTCACACAAGCCTATAAACTTTATTTGGGAGCTAAATGTACGAAGTTTAGTAGACCGGGTATTACAGGTTTTCGGTAAATCGTATGTCCTGAAGCTTGAAACCCTATCTTGAACTCCCGAACCTGAAAAACTTGAGCTACCCTAAGGACTGAAGTCTGAGGCCCTCAACCTTCTTAGAGGAGTCGTGTTAAACCTTAGACACTGTATTTTAATTTTCAGCCCTAATTACGGTAATTACGGTTCAACGTCACACCCTCATTGGCATCGGTCTCAATCAACTCCAAACCTACAGCCCGCAGCATGGGGCTGGCTGAGGACAGCCAGCGGGAAGAGACCTCTCGAAGTGGTCAAGGACGTCAAAGACGACATGAGTGCTGGCGTCCCTTTCATTCTTCGCAAGGGCAGAAACACCATGTCTTCGCTTGTCAAGTCGAACGAGGCGAAACGCTTTTGGAACAACGTTCTGGAAAGCTTTCAGAAAAGCGTGAAGGATTCTCGCCAGGAGCGCCTCACGCAGCAGCCTTACCTTGTGTACCGGGTACAGGGAATTCAGCAAACAAGTGCAGTGCAAGCATGTGTGTTGAATCGCTTGTTTATCTCCTTGGCTGTACGATCAGGGGTGCCTTGCTGGCAACGGCACCCGGTGCCGAAGCAGATGGGCAGCCGGAGGAGGATCCGGATGCTGCCAAAGCGATTCAGGAGATCAAGGATGGCATGATGGAGTTCTTCCCGTGGAAGGACAAGATCTCTGAGAGGACCATCATGAATGCCCCCGCCTCCGCGGGCCGCTACTTTTCGTTTCGCGATGTCAAGACACATGTCTCTGAATATGCGCCGAAACACGATGCGGACGGGTCGAAGAAGGCTTGGACGTAGACTCGCAGATGTTCATGTCGGAGTCGGTGTAGCGTTGTGTTGATGAGCATCTACTGATAAACCGTAGGACATGTTGCGACAGGTGCGCAGAGCTGGTAACACTTTGCAGAATTTGTCCCTGTGCGCTGGCAAAGTCGATGCGGCGTGGGCCGGAGTCGACAACCACGGCATCGGGACGATACGGGTCCAGGCAGGTATGTCGACGTATGTTGTTGGATGGTCTGAAAAGCTTTTGCTATCCTGTCTAGCCCGGACCCAGCCGTCTAGGAGCTTAGGCTTAAACAAAGCCAACTCTCGTGCAGTCGTGCAGAGCAACACTGTTATACTGGGAATAACATTCACTAGTTAGCGGCTGGGACCAGCAGTGCCATCCTTGGGCCCGGTGTGTCCGTGTGTGTTTGCTGTAATGATGTAAAGTACCTGACAGTACATGACACATGTTGCCTGTCGTTGTCGCAGTTGGCGGGAAACAAGATCGTTGCCATGGCCGGGATTCGCGATGTGTGCAACTACTTCGAGACGGAGGAGCTCGTCACTGCTAGGTCTTCCTTGCGAGACCTTGCAGGGGCCGACCTGCCGGACTTGGGCAGTACTTCGACAAAACATATTTGCGTGTTCGGGCTTCCATTTCTAATGAGCACTGAGCACACAAACATCCATCCTAGAAAACTCTTGGTAGCTTGCATGATGATCGGTACGTGCTGCACCGTTGAACTGTAATGATGTGCCTGGTTTTGGAACTTGTTGAACACATTCCTGGGTGAAGGGCTACGGAAGGCCACATACAGATCTATCCAACATAATGTGATCCTTGGTATCCTTGCACAGCCTTGCTCATGAATCATACCTATAACAAAGTTTCAGCAGAGCCGGTTCCCTGTCGGATCCCTGTGGCCGTGTGTGACCGGTGTTAGTTTTGCGAATCCTTGTATGGGTTAACATTGCTTCCCTTTGTGCGCTGCCTAGGTCTGCAGACCCTCGTCTTCGGATTCGTTAAGACAGGCGATGTTCTGTATCAGCCAGCTGGATACCTGGCCGTGGAGAAAGTCCTGACGGACAACAGCATATCCCTGCGCATGAACAGTTTGGCTTTTACCGAAGACACCATGCGCTCCTTCCTGGCAGGCTTGTCACAGGTTGCTCTGCTTTTTTCGAAGCAACTATGTGTCAGTTTGTGTCATGTATGTTGCTCGAGTCATAGTGGCAGCACCGGGTCAGCAGTGACGGTGACCAGTAGTCGTTGCCTTGACATGAGCTAAGTTGTCTTCGAACGAAGCTGCGGATCTGTTGGCCGAGATGCTCCCGATTCTTGGGCCGGAAGCCGTGCAAGAATTCCAGTTGCCTGGGCTGGAAGCATCAGAATCCGAAGCAGAAGACGAAGATGGGGCGGCTGAAGACGACCGCGCCATGCATGGAGAACACAAGGAGCTTCCAGCAGTCAAGGCCGAGATCCCGGACTCATTCACCGAGGCATTGGAGGCATCGTTCGATGCGTCGCTCGCGGCTGCTGATGAGCTGGCTAAGAACGGTCAGCCACCATCCACGTTGGCATCGGCTGCTGATGGTGTGACAGCGGCGTCTCCATCGACCCGATTCTTCACAAGGGAGGCCCTGTCCCGAACCCCGAAACCGAACCCCTAAACCCGTAAACCTTCCCCCAAAGGCCCCAAACCCCAAACCCTGAAGCCTTAAGACAGCCCCAGGACACCAGTGCCAAGCCTACCAAGCAAGAGCCCTTGCCGTTGCCTGTTGGGCCTGCGGATCCTGGGACTTAAAGGGTTTACGAATTTCGGATTTGTGGGGTCAGAGTTTAGGCTGGTGCAATCCTAGGTTCACATTAGTCTGAAACATGAGGGAGACCCTGGAAACTTGAAGGGATCTGCTGCTGAACCCTACTTCTGGCTCTCTTGAACGGAGCCTTCTTGAGAGGGATCGCCATGAATGTTCTCGAATCAAAAGAAACCCCCAAGCGGCCCAAGCTTAAACACGACTCAAGGACCCCAATGCCGAGCGACAGCCATTGGCTGCTGCCGGGCGAGCGGATCCTTGAACCCAAAAGGTTTACGGATTTCGGATTTGTGAGTTCAGGATCAAGGGTACCCTGCTTAGCCCTGCTTATACTTCTGACTTTCTTAAACGGAGCCTTGTTGAGAGGGTTTAAAACCCCAACGAATTCTCGAATCAAAAAATAATCCCGATGTTGAAACAATACCCAAGGACCCCGATGCCGAGCGAGAGCCCTTGCAAGCAGCTGCCGGGCAATCGGATCCTTGAACCCAAAAGGTTTACGGATTTCGGATTTGTAGGGATTCAGTGTTCAGGCTTAGGGTGATCCTAATTAGTCTGAGGCATGACCAGGCATGAGGGAGCCGGAAAGGGTACCCTGCTTATACTTCTGACTCGACTCTCTTAAACGGAACCTTGTTGATTGTTGAGAGTATCTAAAACCCAACGAAATCTCGAATCAAAAGAAATCCCGATGCTGAAATGCTGAAACAATACCCCAGGACCCCGATGCCGAGCGAGAGCCCTTGCAAGCAGCTGCCGGGCAAGCGGATCCTTGAACCCAAAGGGTTTCCGGATTTCGGGTTTGTGGGGATTCAGGGTTGGTTCAGGCTTAGGGTGACCCTAAGTAGTCTAACGCATGAGGGCCCAACGAGGGAAATCCTAAACAACACCATGCTTTTACTTCTGATTCTCTTAAACGGAGCCTTGTTGAATCAAAAATACCTACGGTTTTTTCTCCAATCAAAAGAAATCCCGAAGCTTAAACAAGACCCAACGAGAAGGACTCCATTGTCGCGGGAAACCCCGGCGTGGCGCCCTTGCGTGCACCTGCCGAAGAGGCAGACCCTGAAAGGGTTTACGGGTTTCGGATTTACGGGTTTAGGCTCAGGGCTTACGGAGTTTATCGTGTTGTTTTCGAACGGGTGCTATAGTTTTTTTCAGTGCTCATTCGGGCTCATATCGTTGTTTGTACGTGGACTGCATCATGGATTCACGATACGTTTGAGAGAATCAAGGTTTAGTTTTTTTGGTACAATCCACTGTAAATCTAGATAGTATGAGGCATGAGTGAGCTTGAAAGGGGTACCATGCTTGGTAACCCTAGCTGTGGCTCTCTTGAACGATCCCCCAGTCCCCGAATTTAAACTGTTTCAGTCTTTAGGTTTCAAGATAGACAAACAGTTTACCTATGACCCAGGCCCAAAAGACCTACCTACTTAAGAGACTTTGAAGCCGCAGGTGGTGATGCCAGCACCGCTGCCGGCGCCGGCAGAGCCAACAGAATCCGTGCCAGAGGCGCCGATGAACCGTCGGAGCCAGTCGAGTTTCGCTTCGGTGTGAGATAGGTTGGGTATATGCCGGGTTGCGACTGAATCTGGCAATCTGGAAGTCAAGAATCAAATAGCCGAGCCCCGAACTCGTTTCAGGAGCCGGCTGCTGCTGCTGCTACGCCCGCTGCTGAGCCGGTGAGTGGCGCCGATCCGAAGGCTTCTGCAGCCAGTCGAGTTTCGCTTCGGTGTGCAATTGGTTGCAACTGCTTGGGTAGATGCCGGGTTGTGACTGAGTCTGGACGTCAAGAAATCTCAAACCCAAGGCCATCAAGGCCCGAACTCGTTTCAGGAGCCAGCTCCTGATGCCGCTGCTTCGCCTGCTGCTCTTGAGCCGGTTCGTGGCGCCAATCCAAAAAATGCTGCAAAGAAGCGCAAGACGTCAGCTGAAGCATTGGAAGATGCTGCTAAAGGCTCGAAGTCTTTGAAACACATGTTCAAGTGACATCGCTAGTGCCAAAGGCTACTGGTGACACTTGCGATTGAGCCAGCCAGTGGGTTCGTGAGTTGGTGGAGGAGACAGCGGGGACCCCGCCGACAAGACCAGACTCAATGGTTTACAATGCTCAGTACTAGTGACTATTTCTCGCATACAATCGTGCCACTGCGGACCCACGGCACAATCAAGGCCCACGGGCTCCTTGACTCATGGCTGGCGACTTTAACTTTGGTTAAGTTGGCTTGATTTCCCAAGGCAGTCGCATAGTGATACCCTGCTACAGACTCCAGATTCCTTGAACCAAGTTCAGCGGTAGTTCAGAGTAGCAGTATCAACAACGGCCACCATGTTTGTCAGTGTTTGTACATGTGATTCAGGTGACTCAGGTTCATACTCCAAGATGCAGTTTCAGAGTTTGGACCCTGTATTTCGCCAGTATTGTTAGGTTTACTCAATTCATGTACGTATTGCTGTCGTACCTGCCTGATTCAAGGTTAAAGTGTCATTGCTACTGCAGCTCGTTTACGTGCGGTGGCCCCGCATATCGAACTCCAAGTTTCATTGATAGTACGTTTGCACTTCGTGATCTCGTGCTTTCTGTATCGCTGTCTTGGGCTGACGGCCTCCTCGCAGTTCATTCATTTGAGGGGCAATCGAACCTGTGCAGGAGGGCGGTGAGCCATGTCCAGTTGAAAAGAGTCAGGGTCATTGTATGGCATAGCCACGGGGCCACCAGGCATGGGGTCTGATGAGTGGGTTTTAGGGCCCTGCAAGGCTGTACAGCAAGTATCGTGCTGTGGGGATGGCATGTGTTGCTTCAAGCCTGGACCCGGCCCGGTTGTCCTGTTGGCGGCCTCAGAAATCATGTATGATGATCATTTGATGGCTTTCTGGCATGTGCTTAAATCCACCTTCCTCGAAATGGTTCGTTCTGGGACAAGCCGACGCAATGACGTCGCCGGGGGACCCTGGCCACGGGGCATTTGCGCAGCTGGTCGAGAGAAATGCTGCAGTGGAGTCAGTGGAGCGAGTCGAGCGATTGCATCAGCGTCGCATCTTGTGATCCTGATTCCTGATACTTTACACGTGTTTACATGAAAGCAATTCCTTGTTGCCGGATATTTTCGTTGGCTTCAATGTTTGTTGGATTGCCTATACAGCGTCGAAATATATTGAAATCATATTGAAATTATTGAAGCTTAAACCGATTTCGTTACAATCGACGATCCCCTGTCACGTTTCTTTTTATCGTCCTTGGCATGTGAGGTCACTCTGTGTTCTTTCATATACTTTTCTAGGCAGACTTCGAAATGGTTTCATTGTGAGAGTACTCATTGTTGCTTGACGTCCAGGCCTCGAAATTTGTGCACTCGAAATTTAGACACAGATGTCGTTTTTCCTCCATCAGCGGAAAAAAGCACGGATCCCGAACACTTCTGGTGTTTTCCTCATAAACAAAAGGGCCAGAACACTTCTGGCAACCCTAACACCGGCCAACAAGAAAGTTAACAGCCCGCAAACGCGGATGACTCCAAAATACTTGGAGTTAATTTGTTGCATGTCGGACAAGCCTACGGGCTGCTTCTGCGAAGCGTGTGCGAGAAAAGTTTGCTCCGCCCAGTTGGACTGCACTCCAACAGCAATGGCCATCGTCTTCATTGTGGGAGCGAGGCTTGCTCCCGGCGGCCATGACCCTGCAGTCAAGGCCAGCCTTTACACAAACTGATGTGCGTGAAGGCCTTTGGTCCGTAGAGGAACGCGTCGATGCACAACAGTTTGTCTTTAGTACTGATGCCACAGGTGGCCCGGACAGCGCAGATGTACGGCGCCGCATAGTAGCTTTTGCTGTAGTCGCCTTTCAAAAAACTCACAATCAGCTTTCGCAAGTTGCGGCTATCACAGGGTACCTTCCTGTGGGAGCCTCGGTAGCTGATGGTGAGACGCGTGCCCTGCAAGTTTTGCAAGAAAACATTTTTGGTGTGGCCGATGTAACAGCTGATTGTCAAACAGCCATTAAACGAGCAACGACTTTTGGCACCAACCTGCAGTGTCATTGGGTGAGATCTCACCAGAGTCGGGAGGCTTTTAAGACGGAGTTTGGAGAGCAAAACTTGTGGCGACACGAAGCCAATCACATTGCGGATCAACTTTGTGATAAGGTTGCTATGCGCATTTATGACAAGGACTTTTCATGCAGAGTTCAGTTCCTTGATTCCCTTGTGCAGAAGATTTCCACTTTCCTTTCGGAGAGGGTTGAGATCCTTATCACTTCAAAAAACGATCCTCCTCCGCAGGTTTTTCGTGAACAGAGAGGCAAACAGCACCGAAACAAGGTCGCAGTCTCGCAGGCTTTTGCCAAACCACGTCGAGCGGAGCAGCAAGCTCTGTCCACGCAAGCCACTCAACGTGAACCTGGCCCCAACAAAAAGCAGAGGCTGCTTCGTCTGCTTGAGGATCCCAGCCTCCATCTCGGTCATGAGTGGAAGGCGACAGGGACCAAGGCTGAGAACAACGTTGCTGTTCAATGCCAACGTTGCCAACTTTACATTGAGCAATGTAATGCGCCTGACCTTTTCAACCGAAAAATTAACCACCCTTGCCAAGACATCCCAGCAGCCTTGCCTGAGTGCTGGTCGATTCACTCTTCGCACTCAATGGTAAATAAAGGAGCGTTTTTCGCTTGCTCTAAGTGTTTGGCGACTGTTAAGTTGGCTGCGAAGGCTTCAACTAAGACACTCTTGAACCACTGTAAAGGTTTGAGTCGCCGCACTGGAAAGAACCTCTTGAGAACC